CAGGACAAATTATCAGTTGGGGCAATTTTGGGCGTGGGAGACCTCTTTATGGGAAAATCAGATTTTTCTGTGCATGACATTTTGCAATTGAGCCCCCCCTTAACCCTCTGCTGTTGGTTCTGGGTTTGACCCTCCCCTGCTCTCTGTACCACTGGGGGTTGACCCGCAAGGGGGGTTTGCTCCAAAGGGAAGGGAAAATCCTCCCTGCACCCCAGGTCAAGGTCAGAAGAAAACTCCAGCACCCTGATTTAATAGAACCAAGATCTTTATTGATCTCACTGTAACAGCAACCACTGGCGAGAGCTTTTCTCCTCCCAAACACCTGCTTGAAGAGACGGTAAAAAACAGCAAAAATCCCAAATGGATCCCCTGACTAGCAGAGGAATGCCCCGGCGAGGCCAGGCACTCCCTCCCTGCTCTTCAGCCCCAAGCCTGATTATAGAAGAGAACCGGGACAAAGGCACTGGGATGGGGAATGGAGACAAAAGGAGGTTGGGAAAGGGGGCATTTAGGAAAAAAAAAAAAAGTGTTTTCCCTCTGGCTCCTGTCCATAAGTTACGTTGTCCTTGGATATTGTCTAATCATTTTTGGCTTGGAGAGCAGGTTTCCCAAAACGAGCAGCTGTGCCGAGGGCGCCGGGTCCCTGCATCCATGGTGGCCGTCCCCGCTCCACGAAGGATGTCCTCGCCCCCTGCCCCTGCCACTCCCTCGATCCGAGGGCCTAACCGACCTCCTAGGATCTTCACTTTAAGGAAAATATATTTATTTATATATAATATATATATTTGTGTGTGTCTTATCACCACCCACCCACACGCATTTCCACTTGCACTCACTCACTCGCGCGCCTACGACGGCCGGGCTACGTGTTCACCTTGCGCTTCCCAGGCCAGGGAAAAGGATGGGAAAGAGATCCCAATTCCCTTGGGTTGTGCTTTTGGATTCCTCCCCCCCTAAAATGAGCAGCAGCCCCACTCTCAAGAGAAAAGTTGGAAGATGGGAGCTCGCAACCAGCCACCGCGCCGACCCGCGCCAAACACGCCTAGAGAAATAAATTATGGGATGGAAAGTGCACAAAGCCTGTGGGATGTCCCTGTCCCCGGCATGCAGAGCCACGGATCCCCCAGGGCTGGGTACCGAGGTGGGGGGTGACCCCGGCAAGGGAGGGAGGGTGGATGGAGCAGGCACTCAGGTGGGGGCTGATAAAATGGCACTTGAGAAGGTTGCGGAGCTGGTGAAAGCTCCCAGCAGGCAGGAAAAATCAAAACAGGGGGGCACAGCAGAGCCCCACCATGCACGGCCTCACCCAGCACTGCTCGTCAAGGAGAGGGAGGAGGAAAAATAAATCCCATCTCTGGGCGGGGAAGGGGTTCAAGCTGCCAGGCACGGGATGGCCACGACGTGCCAGGCTGGCAAAGCCGCCGGCGGCAGGGAGGTTAACATGGAAATCCTTTATCCACGGCAGAATGATGGAGGTGGGAGGGAAGTCCCATCCCAGAGAGCAAGTAGAGGACGGCACCGATGCCAGCACCCTACAAATGGAGCACCCCGTCCCTGCGGTGCCTCACCAGCAAGCCCCCGAATCCCCGGGGACACCCAGCGATTCCTGAGACATCCAACGGTGCTAAGGGATCTCCCTCCTGTATTATTCACATTTTAAAGGGCTGGGGGAGTTAAAAAAAAAAAAGAGCACAACAAAGCACTTTCCCAGAGGCACTCGTCCCCAGCCCAGAAAAAGAGTTGTTGGGAGTAAAGTGCCCCTTTTTAGTACCAAAAATATAAAAGCAAGGGGTTTTTCTAACATATGGCTATGTCACTGTGAGTCCTGGCTGGTGGGCTGGGGACACAGCTCCTGGTTGAAGGGCCAAGATGGAAGAAATCCAGGTAGGAGAGATGTGGGCGCGCTGGCCAACACCACTGGGACTGTGTGGGACCCCCAGAGCACCAAAGGGAATGGGCTGCCGAAGCTGTCCTCTGTTGAATGCTGGCACATCCTGAAGGGGCTCAAAAAATACCCTCCTCAGGGTGCAAGCAGGCACGTGGGTTTAGGAGTGATGTTTCTTCCTCCTCCCAAGAGGCTGCCCAAATTTTCCGGGAGAAGGGGGCAAAGGGGATGACGCAGCTCCGGCAAGCTGATGGCAATGGGAGGTCTGGGATAGCAGGAGGGGGGTTTTGAGGGGGTACGAGGCAGCACAAGAGGCAAAGGGATGTTTCAGAAAGAAGCCCGGTGGAGATCAGGCTGTTGGTGGGTGGAGGAGGAGGAATAGGGCCGGATCCAGAAGGGATGCTCCATCTGGCACATGCTGGGATTGGTCACCCACAAAGGGGGACAAGACAGAGCTGCACTCCCCAAAAAAAGGGGGGAGGCGGGCGGGGAGGGGGACGCTGGTGGGGACCCACTGCCACCTCCGCCTCGCTGGGACAGATCCTGCTAAGCCGAATGGGGGGTGCACAGGTCTGGGGAGTCGCTGCCTCTCTGTGGTTCCTGCTCAGATATCCATCTCGAACTGAGCGTCGTCCCCTGGCAAGATGCAAGGAGAGACTCATTAGAGGGGCGTCCCCCCGGCCCAAATGTCCCCAGCCCACCCCGGGGGGTCCCTTACCCATGGATGGCTTCCCCTCCTGGTGGTTCAGGCTGTTGCTGTCCTCTTTGGGCTCCTCGCCGGCCTCGCCAGGGCTGGTGACGCCGGGAATGTTGGGGAGGTGACAAGGCGGGGTCTTGGCCATGGGGGAGTTGCGGCGGTCCAGCAGGAACTTGCGGTCGTAGATGATCCGGGTGCCTGGAGGGGGGAAGCGAGAGGAGAGTGGGAGAATCTGGTTCGGCAGCGCTTGTTTGCAGAAGGAGTTTCCCAGTGGGACGGGCGTCCCAGCCGAGGCTCTCCGCCAAGACCGGCGGGGAGGGCAGGGGGGTGCGCGCTGCCGCTCTGCCCGCTCTTATCTGGGCACGACACGCGATAATTCCACGCTGGACAAACAGCCCCGGCGGCACCTGGGTCCCGGCTGTCCCGGCGACTGGCGAGCTCGCGGCAGGGCTGGGCACGCGTCCCGGGGATGCCGATGGATGTGGCACCCCGAAACGCCCCGTGTCCCCCTCCCCTGCACAGGGACGAGGGATGTGACGATAGGGCCGAGCCCCAGTGCCCGCGTCCCACCGGGGCCTCTCGCCGCCCCGTCCGGGATCCGGCTCCCGCCCCGCCGGGACCCTCCGCGCCCCGGGACAATAATAAACCCACCTCCGAGCGCGCTGCTCTAAGGAGAGCGAGCGGCAGGCGCTGCCTGCGGACAGCACACAGAGGGGGAACAGGCGCGATACCCCGCGATAGGCGCGACACGCGGCGCCCGGAGCGGGCGGGCGGGCGGGCTGCCCCGCAGGCCCCGGGGCGGGCGCGGCGCTTTTACCTCCCGGCGTGGTGGAGAAGAGCGTCCCGCCGGGGGTGGTGCAGTAGTCGGCGGGCAGCTGCGCGGCGTCGCTGAGGGTGACGGTGCGGGTGGGGATGGCCCGGCTCTGGCTGGGCTGGCGGCCGGCGGACGACATGGCCCCGCTGCGGCCCCGCGCTTTGTCCCCGCGGAGGCGGCGCGGCCCGAGCGGCGCCGCCCCCGCCCCGGCACCGCCCCGCCCGCCGCCGGC